GTTACTTTTAGAATTCCTATGAGAGTGGAATATGCAGTATGCTAGGGGTATGTATTGATAAAGTAATTGGAATAATAACTCCAAAGGTCATTGCTCATATATAGCTAGGGCCACAAAAAATAATGGTAAAAGTAAAATAATGAAATTTAAAATGGGAATTTAGCAAATGGGAGTGGGGCAGTATGTCAAGAACAGTGGAAGTGTCAAGGCCAAATCATATAAGCTGGAGTTTAGAAATGCTCAGGGCCCTTAAATTCATTTCAATTAATAAGTGACTTTATTGAACCCTTACTATATGTTAGACAATTCTAAAGGATTTATATAAACTAATAGATATAATACCTTCCCAAATTCCTATCAGGATTTACTTATTGGAAATTGAATTCTAGAAACAAGAAGTAACTTTCTCAAGGCCAGACAATGGTTTATAGCAATAATAAAGCCAGACTTCTAGACCTGACCTTCTACTTCTAGTATGGAATTCCTACCCATCTTGCTCATTGGAATTGTGTAAAAAACAATGCCTTTGAGGGTATGGGGTCTCTACTTAAATATAAATTCCTTAGTTGTCTCAAAACTTTAATAAAGTCTTCCACTTTTAAGCATATTTTTCTTGAGGAAATTAATAAAACAACCCACTTCTTCTTTGAATGGGCTAGTGAACCCTGCATGCAGAATTGAAGGGACAATGTCTAACGGACTGGTGGAGTGTAGGTAAGAGCCTAGAGACAGAATTGAACAAGAAAACATGAACTTCACAAAGTAACATAGTGGAGAGGTGTTCTAATTTCATTTCTGCTGCTGTTATAAAATACTTCGACAGAAAACAATTTAGGGAGAAAGGATTTATTTGACTTACAATTCCAAATTATAGTCCATAATTAGACTATATAGTCAAGGCAGGAGCTTGAAGGACCTAGTCATAGCACATCCACTGTCAAGAGCAGGGAGACAAAAATGCATGGGTGCTTCCTGCTTAGGTTGTGTTCTCTCTCCTTATATAATCTGGGACTCCTACTTAGGGAATGGTGCTGACCACAGCTGCCTGGGCCATCCCACATCAATTAGCATTCATGAGACGCCCCTACAGACATGCCCACAGGTCAAACATATCTAGACAATCTTTCATTGAGTTGCTTTTTCCTGGTGATTCAATGTTGTGTCAAGTTGACAATTAAAACTAAACATCACATGAGAGATTTTGTTTTTCAGAATTTAGGGAACCAGAGTGGGATCCTCTTCCCTCCTGCCTTTTTTTTTTTTTAAATAAATATTTTATTGAGAATTTCATACATGCATATAAGGTGTTTTGATCAAATCCATGTCCACTCCCTCCCCCTCCAACTCCTCCCATATCTCCACATCACTTTTTTTTTTCTGATAACTTCATGTACTCTTTCTTCTTTGATTTTTTATTCTTTTCTTTAATGGGGTTTTGGGCTACTCTAACATTCCCCCTTCTGAAGAGGTAACCCTAACCCTAAAATCTTTTAAGGATTAGATACAAGCTCCCAAATATTTTTAACATTTTTGGCCTTTGGAACAGAGCATGTTGCTAAGAGGCCCAAAGACATTGTGAGGTTTAGCCAAGAAACTGGCTACTTTTCTATAGGGTCTTTTTTCCTAACTGCCTAGTGAATTCCTACCTCCTATTCTTATCACACCATCCTCTGAAGAGGTTACCCAAATTGCCAATAGGGAATCGGGATGCAGACCACTCTGGTTTCTTCCATGATGAGCAGGGTCCCAGGGTGAGGCAATTGGAGTAGCCCTTCAGTGGATCTATCTAAAAGACTCCCAAATTGCATAACTCTTACCTGGAGGAGGAAAAGAAAGTCTTTGAATCCTGAATAGGAGATGTGAAGCATAAGTAAAGGCAACAGTAATTAGCATTACAAGTTCTGGACAGGGAACTAGAAAAAAGTCAGAACAGGGCAATTTCAAATGTTCATATGAGAGTCCATTGGAATTTCTTGACAAGGGCTTCCAAAAGCATCCCTCTATTGGGTTCCTCATTTTTTTTTTTTTTTTTGTCTTCCAAGGCTGGACTCTAGAGTGATAGATTCAGGATTTGCTTTCAGGTATTTTGATAGCTGTTGGAGTGGTTAGAATCAGTGTCAGTTCCCTCTCAAAGGCTTCTAGATAGGAGGAAAAAACAAATTTATCCATCATTTTAGAACAATAGCTGGTTGTCTCCTTTAGCTACAGGTAGGCATTATAGTATTGCAGACCAAGATTTTAAGTCTTACATCTGAGCAGCACTTTCTGGTTAGGACCAAAATCATCAATGAGAAATAATTGTACAAATAACTTTTTATATAGACCTAAGCTTAATGTCTTGGAAGTGTAATCCTTTGAACTCTTAAAGAAATATACTGATGACTTTACTCTTTGGTTATATTTTCCTTTTGGGTGTTTAAGACCACACAGTTGGCCCAAATAAATCAATTTATTTTTACACTTAAGGTCATTTGACGATCTGTTCCTCAGGGGTCAAATGAGCTTGGAAGGAGCTCCTGGCTCCTTTCTTTTACTAGTTCCATCTATGTGAAGCCTTGGTTCTTAAGAGGAAGGAAGCTGTCAGCTGCATGCTTATGTGAGATTTAGAATAAATAGCACCCCAACAATATTTATCAGAGTGTAGTAATGGTTCAGAGCATCCTGATTGGTACTCTGTACTGTAAGAAGTAAAATGAATAATGCTTATCCAAAAGGGAAATATCTTATGTTGCTCAAAGCATAAGAAAAGCTTTGCATTATAAATCTAAAAGAATTTATCATCAATCAGGATAGTATACTGCAAGCAGTAACCTGGTACAGAAGACACATTACTACTAACAAACTATGGAGATCAGAACTCAGCACTCCACTCCCAAGG